ACTTCGTATCGCCCTATAATCAAGAAATATCTATTACGTTTTTTTATTTATATTTTTGGAGTTTACCTGTAAGCCATAAATCTCCGTGTTTTGAAGTGCGTCAGAATGATTATTAGTTAGTTGTCAAATCTAATGTCAAAAAAACGTTTGTATGGGAAATAGAAAAGGGCTGTTTTTATGGTTATTCTAGTAATGAATCAATTTTTTTCAGCTTTTATACCTTCCCTGAACCTCCACGAACATTTCAAGACTAAGATAAGATAAATCCGTTCAGCTGTTCTCGAGTTTTAGCGAGACTAAGGAACAGCAATCCATTTTTATATATATAGAAGATTAAAACCAGACGTCACTTATTGTTGTTGTTATACAGTTTGTTTTGTAATGATCATTATTCTAAAATAACTAAACAAAGGATCTCGTTATGAGTGACTCCAGAACTGGTCGTGTCTCCAACGACGCGTGCTGTGTGCGTGTGATGGTTACAACTAACTAGAGATCTATTAATATACCGTCTGAGGACGCTTCGAGATGATTAGTTTATAAATAAACTTGAAATTAGCGACGTGCAATTACATTTCACCTGATACGTAAATAACATAAAAAGAGAAGAAACAGATTGTGATGTGTTTATAATTATAAGGAAAATAATTTAAATAAAGGTAGAAATAATTATTTAAAAACTTTAATGAAAGAATAGTAAGTATTACACTTAAATTTAGTACTTTTGTTGGGGACAATAGTTGAAAAATAAGAGATAATAAAAAAATCGAAAATCTAAAACATTTTCATGAGGAGAATTTCAAGAAAGTCGATATTATTTTCGTTCGTGGTACTCATTAAGATTGTGGGAGACTTTTTCCAGCAACAAAAATAAAAAAACAAGCATCAAATTGATTTTTGACTCCTACATGACCATTTTTAACAAAAATACAGCCACTTGAAAAATCGGCTGGAACTTAATTATTTTTTTAACCTCAATTTTTCATGGAAAAAGACCACAAAAAATTTACAGTAAAACATAACTTTCTGTTTTATTTTGTCTTCAAACGGAATACTAACAAGATTTTAATAAATAATAAGGTGTCAATAACACCGAGACAAGTTTTAATATTAATTGTCTAAATTGAATACAGGCTAGCTTTAAAAAAATAGAGTGCTTTTGAGAATTTTACTAGGGCTTGAGGTAAAGAACTGTTTTTAATAAAAGGTTTTAAATTAAATATAAAATTTTTCGAGTAATCCCATATTCATAAGGAAAGAGGAGGAGGCGTTCATCGTGAATAGAGGCATTTAATAGAAAAGCTTAGCACTGACGATCTAACATCAAAACTGATTATAATAAGTGTAACAAATGTTAACTACTACATGTCCTTCTACAGTTATTTAAGATATCATTTAAAAATTCTGACGAGACTTCTCACTTTACTATCCTACTGTAAAGACAAACTAAAATTGTATAGGGAGTGAACTATCGGTGGCGAGAACTAATCCAAGATCTAAAATATATTTAAGATATAACTGATTTCCATATGTAGGACAGAGTTATCTTTAAACTTTATTCTGTGATATCCTCGCTATTCTCACGCGCGGCCTGTATCTATGACATGTTCAAAATAAAATCTATGCAGAAACTGTTTGTCACAACATCAAAACATATTCTCCGATAAATTGTAAATATTGTTTTTCTCAACCTTCGAATGTAATCCGGGAACTAAAATTCTAATTAAAATAATAAACGAATTTTACAATAATTTAGCACATGAATATATTTTAATGACCCTCTGTATTGTAATGTAAAGCTAGTTATATGTATATAATATGGTTCTGATGTTAATTATGATAAAACCGTTTATATCTCGAAGCCTACAACAACCTAACAACAACTTACGACAATAAAGACACAACATAAAATATATAGACGGGAAAATATAGTTTATCCAGAAATTTCTTTTTTGTTCAATTTATTTCCAAATTATACCGAAGCAAAGATTATTATTCATGTTAACAACAGTTATATATGTTTTAAAGTCATATACAGGCATTTTTTTATCTTATATTTTAACTGAGAAACCATGAACCACACTTGCAACAGTTTTATGAGGTGATAACAGAGATCAAACCATAAAAAAGATGTAAGTTTAACTTCACTCTACCAACAAATACAAAACATCTTAAGAGTGTTCATTGGTCATATGATATATTTCGGGCAGACTGAGCGCTGCCTCGCCGTACCTCGCTCAGATAAACAAGTCCTTTCCAACAAATGTTGTCTTATACAAAGCGCAACAACAACGCGACCTGAAATTCAGTTTAAAACACGAAACAGAAGCAACCAACTCACAGAATTCATTCGCTTGTTTTCCTTCACTTTAATTTATTGTGCCCCAGACTACACCTCGGTGCACGGAAAATTGATTTGATGCAACTTGGATTTTTTAGGTAACCTGACATTGATTGGCTCACTTGTTTCCTTGTACCCTAAATGAAAATCAATGTTTTGTTGTTTACATCAAGTTACATCGCATACGGAGTGTGAAAAGTTTTCTTATTTATAAATCTTCAGGCTATTGTAAGTTAAAGACTTGTGCTAACCTGTTTGTGTATTTTAACGTAAACAGCCTTAAAATAACTTACAAACAAAGCTAAGATTTACATTCATATTTGTCAAGGATGTCTGAACAGCTCGTCTCTGGGTCGACGGCCGGAGCTCCGTGTATAAAAGAGTCTACAACATAATGAACAACATTTCAAAAATATTTATTTTGACTTGCCAAACTACTTAACGATCACTGATAATTTCAATAACCTTTTTTCCACGTTTCATAATACTCATTCTCGGCGAGATCAAAATAATCTGCTAATTACATATATTAAAATAACTAGCTTTTTCCCACGACTCCGTCCGCATGAACACCACGGTCATTCGCATGAACACCACGGTCATTATGTTAGTAAAACGCTTTGGCGAATTCTTCATTATTAGGTACAAATTCTAACCGTCTTATACACGTCATACTTCTAAACGCAGAGACGGATTCGGAGGAAACAACGAGTATTTTATTTTTACATAAATGTTCTTCATAACGTAATGCTTAATTTGGATAAGGATTAATATTACGAAACACATTTAACGTGGTTTCTTTCTTCAGGCAATTTAATATTTTTTTAATAGAAAACGGATATTGTGACTAAACCATGACAGTTAGACATATACATATATCCTCTCCCAGATATTTTACAAAACCCGTAGTACATTATTTTGTTGTATTATTAATATTTTTTACACGCTTATGTAATTAGGTTTTCGATTTTACACCTTGTATTATAAAGTAGGAAATATCTTATGAATTTAATTTTTTCTGAAAATAAGTAATGTCATTCTCGATAACTGGACTATCCGACACGGAAATATTTTTTCAAAACGAACCAGTAGATCGTAAGATTAGAGCGTTCAAACAAACAAACAAACTCTGAAACTTTATAATATTCGTATAGATTGTTTCCAGACATGTTTTGAAATAATATTATAGATAATGATTATTAACAAAGGTATAACATTACTATCCGTTGGTTACTCTTCACATGTAAGTATATAGGTACATTTGATAAATTAATGTATGTAATATTTACGAAGCTTATATTTTCCGTGATTTTCCTAAATGTTTACGTAGCCAAAATATCATATTCCCGATTAACAAAAGATTAAAACTTATTTAAACTAATCATTTCCCTCCGCAGATTTCAGGACTATTATAAAAGTCATTATTATAATAATAAAACTTTCGTTTAGTATTTTATATACACGATATTTAGTTGATCGAGTAATGAATAAATATTAGAACGCATTATTTGTGTAATATAAAAATGCGACAATGTATTGAGCACAGTAACTGTTCATTGATATCATCCAATGTATGGATGCCTTTAGTGAACCTCTGTACTCGTAGGTCAACAAGTCATCGGTCACAGGCCTCATGTCTAATTTCTTTACCATATTATATCATTCTATATACATACAATAAGTCGCCGAGCGTGTCTTTGTAGAGATGTAATGTAAGTTGTGGACGATGTTTATTTCGTATGAAGTTCCGTTCAATGTGTTTTTGTTACAATGGCAGTGATTGCAGCAGCGAGACTCAATATCCGCTCGGTTACGTTAAATCAACCCATTCTATTATATAAGATCCTTCAGGCGAGCTATATTCCTGAATAACGTTGTAATAACTGAAGGAAACTATCTGGTCACTCGTTTCATGTTAACTGGATACTGTCGCCCTGGGTCTGTACCAGCTTCTTAACGTTTGATGTAGAAATATCCCGGAATATCTAATTCCCTCCAATTCCCTTTAACTCCAATCATATGCCTGCGTTCCCTTTCTAAATCCCAGCAGTGTCTTCTAACTTTTATCTACTCTAGTAACTCTACCCCCACTCGTATGTATGGAAAGGACTTGAATGTAACTGCTATTTAAAAGAGTACCTCCAAAAAACGAGACAAATCGAATCATGCTTCTCTTTTCTTGAATTTCAATGTATTGTCTAAAACTACAAACATTTTAAATGTAACGTGTTTGTTATCTTTTATATTTTATTTGTTGCACGAAACATTATATTAATAATCCCTACTAATCCCTATTATTAATATTATAAATGCGAAAATAACTCTGTCAGTCTGCCTGTCTGTCTGTCTGTCTGTTACGGTGTCACGTCTAAACCACTAAACTGATTTTAATGAAATTTGGTACAGACATAGAGTTGACCTTGAGAAAGAACATAGGACAGTTTTTATCATAGACTTATGAAAGGTTCTCTTGGAATCGCGTTATAACCGAACACCACGCGGGCGAAGCTGCAGGAAAAAAGCTAGTTAGAAATACTTTCACTATAAGTATTTATTGATATTAAATTACTTTTCTCTTTCATTTCATATATTTATCAAACTAAATTGACATTTATAAATCAATCATTCAAATCGAGCAACTTATTTAAACTCTTGTAAACTAAATGTCAAGATCTCCCCCCTCCCCCTCCCTCCTCCTGCCTCCTCCTTCAATACCCGAACAATACCCGAAAACCGTGTAAGGAAACAATGGGAGTCTCGCATTTGTACCGAACATATTCAGTAATAAGATACGTGACGCGCGAGGGAACCCTTCACACTGCATGCGACTAGCGGCGTCTCTTCTACCATACACCATCCTATTTAGAACGAAAATCTCTTTCTTTTCTTGTTTTTCCTTTCTCAGTACTAAACTTTAAAAGTTCATATGAAAAAACAAATGAATACATCCGCTCAACCGACGCATCCCGTGTGGCAGCACCTTTACAAACATTACTGCTAAACGAATAAGCATTCCTCCACGGTAAATAGCGAAAGAATCTAATATTGATGATCGATTCTATATAACGTCGTAGGAATATCCCGGACATGACGGAAATAAAGGAATACTATGATACATGAATTAAGGAAATAAAACAGATGAAGTGATGAGTAACAAAAATAAACTAAATATTCAGTACAGAAATGTATCCTTGGACTTTGATGCAGGGAGGGACACGTGGGCATTATATGAGTGACTATCACCGAAAAGAACACCAGTACAATACCTTCATATACACGTTAGCCGTAAACAACCATGCAATAAAAACTGTTCAAATGGGAAAGAAACGTCTCCTACAACCTTTAGAACTCAACACATACTTTCTGTTCAGTCTTTCAGAGGCCTCTGAATATCACTATCGTTTCGTTGACTGATAGTTATATTAATTATGGTGACATTAATGACTCGGACAAATGATCATGAAAGATGAAAGTCACACGCTGATACGACCGACCCTCGATTATAAAAGAGACGCAGAACGATCACAATTACTCGCTTCTGACGGTCCTGAATAATACTACATCAGCGATTAACTATTGATAGGATAAAACTTGAAGGCGGACTATATATATAAATATTTAAAAAGTTGACAGTTTAACCTGATATAAAATATTGAAAAGAATGCTTTTGATTATTTCATAAGTAGAACAGTCACGTATCATTGGAATTAATTTAACAAACAAGTCTATCGGGTCCTTAGCGTCACTCACATAACTTTTCATACACTTTATAATATTAATGAGACTGTAATATCTGTTACGATTTTAATTACAGACTTTTCTCTATGAAGTGAATAACTCAGCGAGAGGTCCTGTTACCTGGCATTATAAGGAGACTGTTTGAGACTGAGGCGAAATAAATTGACTTTGAATTGCTTCTTAATTAAATATCAAAATTATCTGCGACAAATAGTGATTCATTATTATTAGTCCCAGCGTGGCCGCGCCCGAACGCATTACGTTTGAATTTATTAATTAGCGCACAATGTACAGAGCTCTCATGAATCCATCCCAAATGTAATATAATTATATTTGGAGTGAGTCGATCCCGCTCGTGCTTCATAACTGCTTCGTTAAGCAATATTGGAAATCCTTTCCGAGTCGGATACAGTTCGTCACGGCCACGGCTCGGGAGTCGGGAGTCGGGAGTCGGGAACGAAGGTGACTAAAACAATAGAACGTTTTAATTTCCTGCCGTTCGGAAAATATGCTTCTAATCCAGAGTTTCTGCCACTTGGAATATCTAATGAAGCGACCTCGTCTTTTAAATTGAAAATTATTTTACACTCTTTCCTATATTTTTAAAGTAATTTTCAGACACGCCGAGATCTCACAACTAGACATTTGCTTGAACGGTAAACGGTTAAAATCATTTTTGTCGCCCCGGCTTTAATGTTACACCTACGCCGTTCTGTCACTTGAGTTTTATTTCTTTGACTTTGACTAAAATGTGAAAACTGACTTGGAATTGGTTCAACATTAAAATGTGTTAGGTACATTTATTTTATTATTATGAATTAATTTTTGAATATCAATCGATCAAATATAGAACCAAGTAAAATTTTGTGTTCAAACATCAACAAAACCGTCACGATCCACACTAAATATGTTTGTTTTTCTAATAAGAAGTTTACTTGTAAATTATTTGAATGGTGAATATTATTTTGAAATGCTTAACTTGTCTCCGGCAATAAAAATAAAAGAACACAATGCATCCCGTACGATAGAAAGTTTTAAGAACACAGTGTGCTACTGGAGACAGAAACGAGAATGAATACAGTATTAGGACCTTCAATTGTAATAAGCATATAATATAAAACATAATAACAATATATTTGTAATATAACTGTGTATCATTATTATATAGACACCTTCTCCATTATATTAGCAGTTCAATGTTTGAGTGGCTCGAAACCTTGGAGCGGGAACGGGAATTTATTTAGTGTGGGAGGGAGGGACTTGTTAAGAACTCAAAATATTCCGAACCAAGATATTCAAACCAAAAGTGCTTCCCTTCATAATAACATCACGTCATTAATCCTTACACTTGTTTTATATTTTTTCATTTCATTTGCTATTTAAATTACATCCATAAATTATACGTCATAGATGATTTTTTTTTTATTAATATCAGAAAAAATTCTAAGAAATAAACAAGTGATGCGATAAACATAAGTTACTAAATTCTAAACACAATCAAACGACTCTATGAATATTTGATATATATTTGATATGTAAATTCCTGATGAATTGTTGTATCCTTTGATAACTTCACACACGAACACCTATTACCGTCAAACAGTAGGTACATAGTTCAATCTCGATATCATGACTGACAAATATTGCATGTTGAACCACCGGCTCGTATAAGAACACGTATAAGAACAGTATAGTAAGAGACCGGGATAAGTTATCTCAGAGGTAGCAGGTTACCATCCAGCTCGTGATAATTAATATCATTTTATTCTTTGTACTCCTGTGACCTGCATATATTTATAATTCAAGTGTTTACTTAAACAACGATTAAAGGTTAGCCTCAGACATAATGTTTTAGTGGCTTTATTTTTTATATAAATCTTCCAAATAACTTATAAGGAGCGATGTTTATTTATAACTTAAAGATAGACTGAAGATTCACTTTATTTTTAGAAAGAACTAATTTAATCATCTATTCAATATATAGAAGAAAATATTTTTCAAATGCAAATGTGAATGAGTCTGGTAACTATCAGACATTTAACATTCATTCCATCGACACAGTACATTCTTCCCTTAAATTTAACAACTTGGTACAATAGAGATTTTGAATCGACTTAATTTATCTACAACTAGAAGACCTGGCGAACTTCGTATCGCCCTTTAATCAAGAAATATCTGTTACGTTTTTTATTTATATTTTTGGACTTTACCTGTAAGCCATAAATCTCCGTGTAGTGAAGTGCGACAGAATGATTGACTTATTAGGTAGTTGTCAAATCTAATGTCAAAAAAAATTTTTGTATGGGAAATAGAAAAGGGCTGTTTTTATGGTTTTCCCAGTAATGAATCAATTTTTTTCAGCTTTTATACCTTCCCTGAACCTCCACGAACATTTCAAGACTAAGATAAAATAAATCCGTTCAGCCGTTCGCGAGTTTTAGTGAGACTAAGGAACAGCAATCCATTTTTATATATATATATAGATTATTTTATATGTACATATTTTTTTTTAATATGATAATAATAAAGAAAGATTGACGCATATAACAATTTTTGTAAAATTATTACAAGCACATTTAAAAATGTAGACAAACAACGATAAATTATCCAGAAGGAAATTCACGGGATCTCTTAGTCGTATATTGTAATACATCTCATACGACTATAACAGTAGTGTGTTGTAACTCCGAGACCTATTCATCGCCACACTGTGACTTACACTCTCGTTAACGCCCCGTCTATGTTGAAAGTTAACTTGATCACGAGCGACACACTATGCTGTTGTGATCTAAGTATACGAGTATAGCAGATATTATATTATCAAAACTTTACCAAAAGACAATATAAATAAAGGGTCTCGGGTCGCACGAGGACTTAACATATAACAGGACACTTCAAGACACGTACTCCTAGAAGAAGAACACACAGACACTCCCATCCCACAGCTAACTGTATTACAGAGCACCTGAACCTGACACACACGGACCGTCCATAAAGTAATGATGTTCATATTAGAATGTAATACTGTATACAGACATCGGGTCTGTGTGTGATTGTAGTAATGAGGTCGCCGAGACGACCTTCCACCACCCTGAATACTGACACATCTGAAGAAACATAACATTGAGTCCGTTCTGATGAGACTTGCTCTGTCTACATCTACATATATACATCTACATATTACATACATATCTTTCTATACACATATATAATATATTTTATATAAATTATGAAATATTATGAAAACTTATTTCTTAGTTATTTCTTGATATTAAATTATAACAAATAAAACATAATATGTTTTTAATTAAATGATTAACATGTGAAGGAAAGAAAAAGGGACGATAATGAAGATTGATTGAGTGTAAGAAATGTATTTTATTTGTTTTAGATATATTTCTCAGTGCGCGATAAAAACAAATATTTCAATATTCTTTTCATTTTCGAGTTGTCTTCATCTTAAAGGCCGTTCAGTTTTTAATTACTCTAAATGTTATTACCATTCACGCTAAACATACTTTGGGAAATCGTGAACACTTTAAATATAAATTTTGCCCTTTTATTTACCAGTGAAATATTTTTCTCAAATTTGTAACAATATTTTTATATTCGAGTTATCGCATGGAACAAAAATAGAAAAGTAGATAAAGTTTCAAGTGGCTGTTGTGACGGAATAGATGGAAATAATTTTTAATTCCTACTTATTCGTTTTACTTAATGTCAATAAAAATATTAAAAAATTTTCGTCATGTTTGTCTGTAACGGTTTTTGAACACTCCTATATAAAGATTTTCTGTATATGTTTAACCTGTTAGCTCATTCCTCGACGGAGAACACGTGACAGATTGAAGACGTATTCATTAAATTACTACTACTTACTACTATTCTACTGTTTGTTTGGATGTGTAAGGATTCATGCTATACGATTCTTATAATGATAAGTTGTAAATAATTAAGTATACATATTTTAAAATGTAAATTATTATATATGTAAATAGTCCTCTTCCTCTAACACCAACTATCTTTCCATATGTTTTATTTCTATCCATTCAACAATCAGTAAACCTATATTTTAAACCAAAGCACCTGTTATCAAATCATTACAATAATCGTCTACATATTATATTTCCATTAAAGAGGCGGCGCTTCAACATCATTCTTAATATAACATATCATTATATATTAAAGTTATTATTTTCTAAATAGCCTATGTTTTAAAGCGATATGGTTGTCTTTATTCCCAATTTCTGTTAGTAACTTTGTCTATTTTAAACAGTTTATCTAACACGTATGATACATTGTAAAACATAGCATCCAGTGACATCCACGCCTGTCCGTGTTCACTTTGAGTGACGTCCCGACGTGTTTTGAGCGACTCAGTTATTTTAGTGTTCGCAGATTAAAGGACTAGGAACAAAGATCGTGCGCCGACACACGGACAAACGTTTACTGAACACATGTACACCGTAGTGTACACAGGAAGTCATGACGTCTCCTGACAACATCTCTAATAAATATCGATGACAGCTTGAGTTATATTGTTAGGTATATGTTATGTGATATTAAGTAGTAAAGAGTAGCGACAATACAAACGTTTTAATTTCGTTTTATTTATTCTTACGTCATTAATGTGAACATCATCGCACATTGTACGTCGAAGTCTCTCGATGAGCGTGCTACATTAAATATCTGTAATAACACTCGACTCGATGTGAGCCAATTACGTTGCCGTCGACGTGCTCTCAAATCAACTTTGTATTGAGACTCGTTTCTCTAAAGTATTCCATTGTTTACATCCAACCAGCAGCCTTTCAACCGGCTGGCGGCAGCACTCATGGAATGAAATCCGAGCCATTATAACACCGCTGTCGAAACTCAAACATTCTGCGCGATGAATTAATTGAATCGTTCCTTCATTCGTTTGACAATGAGAGATGATGTATCGATGGTTAACGATACTGAATAAATACACGACGACAAGAAACTTTGAAGGAACCGCGTCTGAGACATGGCGAATATACGAATCATTGACAACAGGGGTCTTTGATGATGTAAGACGAGTAGAACAAGAATAGAAAATACAAAACAGGGTATTAAGAATTGGTTTGAATTTGAAAACTGCTTCAAAATTAGCGTTGTGTGGAGGGCTTGAAACTACTTTTAGTTCAGGTTTAGTTATGCAAGCTACAATCGTCACTGATCTCAAATAGGCCAGCAATAAGTCTTTAATCAATCAAGTCTACGTAAGTTCAAAATTGCAATCCGTCGAGTTCACAAGATATGGTTTTCCTTTATTAAAAATTCTAATACTTCAAACTTCTCAATGGGAGGACTTGTCATAAATCTCAATGCCACCTCTAGGTATAGTACCTATCATTTTCTTTACATTTTTTTTTGTTCCTTTCCTCTCAACCTTATATTTTAAATATTAAATCCTGTGTTAGTTTTCTATGTATCGTATCGTTCTGTATCTACTGTCTGCCTCGTGTTTATTGTTTAAATTGAATCTAACCTGTCAGGGAACAGTACAAGTTGATAGTTGTCGACCACGCTCGCTCAACATGATTTTCCTTTTATTTTGTCCGAACATTTCAGTGGTTTTTATTTTTAACATCACACTATCACATTATATAAATTGTAAAACTATCGAAGGAAAGCTCCGCAACAGACAACAGACAACAGACAACAACAACACATTAAAGATATTGCACGTTATATAAATATTCAAAATATTGACTTTAGATCTTATTATGAATAAAACATAATGTGAAAAGAAACACAAAGGTTGAAGCAACCCGTACGAAAAGATTACCATTCGTATTCACCATTGTAAGCCTTTGATATAGAACCTCAAATAGAACCTGCATTATTGTTAAATTTGTATTACTCGGTAAGGAATTATTAATGTGACTTATATTACCACAACTTGTACGGAAAATAAACGTCGCGTAGTCAGTTTACCATACACTTATAAAGATTAATTAAATACGACGACCATAAAGAGATTTGTAAAAATCAGATAAAGTATCAAAGAAATGAATTACTGAAATTTAAACAATATAATAATAGTTTAAATAGAAGACATATGTATATTTATGTATATAAATATTATTGTAATTTCTGTTAAATAACATGCGGTTTTGAAATTGATGATTCGAAAAACCGTTATTATAGTGATTTATAAACGTAGAACCGATTACTAAAACAAAGAGGAGTAGATTAAACAATACGAATAGCTCGGTGGCCGTTAAAGAGGAGGGCTCGCTGCTCGGTGCTCGGCGGTGACGGCTCCGGATCAGTCCACATCGACAGCTCGGAATGTAATTGTATATAATTACAGACAGTTAAAATACAACAGAACTACTGACGACACGAACATGCTCGTTTAAATTGAACAGAAATCATATAGGCTTTCCGTATACTAAGCTTGCCTTCATATAAACGATCAACTGACAGTAACAGTGGAGATGTTATGATGTTTCAAATAAAGTCATCACACGAGGGTTGCATCTTATATGATGATGTAATAGTTCCGAGTGAGTTAAATTAAATTTGGAAGTTTCAGTCATAAATAAAGTTTAATTTGAGAACAGAGTGAGTTCATAAAGCATAAAGTCCCAGCAATATGTCGGAGCGGCTCTTAACGTTTATATCAGTATAGTATTGCCGTTTTAAACTAATACGAGCCTGGCTCGGAGGAACTAGCGGAGGGGTTTATTGTCATGAACGAGACACGTGACGTCACACATGACAACGATGACTATCAACAGAAGAAGCGATGGAAACTGGAGAGACGTGTATTCAATATCGACTATGAAGTGTGACATGATATTATATAATTATATATTTAGTAAACAATTTATTAATTCCTTAAAGTTATAAATTCAATAAAATTTACAGAATTATATAAGAATTCGCACATTCTTGAATGATTAAAAGTAGATATATTAAACGTTAAGAATGAGAAGTTTCATTGACATGAACCAACGACTGTTGTGATTACAATTTTAAAATAACACTTGCTCCATTAGAATGGATTCCCAGCTCAAAATAAAACAACATGTAAAAATTTAAATCAATGTCAGTTTGTTATAATGTACACATTCAAAGAGCGTGATAGTCACAGAGTCATTTGGTGCGGCGCCAACGGTTTGAAAAACGACTACCACTGGAATTATAATTATATTACAATATACAACAAAACTCACTATATTAGCTCCCTCACCCTCAATACTTGATACAAGGATATTATGTACACATGTAATGTCAGTCCTCTATACCTCATGAACGTAGTCGAGTTAATCTTTAAATCATATAACTTTTAAACAAGTCATCAAGACGATTTGGAATAATAATAATTGTAAAAGAAATCCCTCGCGTTTGTTTTAGACGATAGTCGACGTGTTTAACGAAGGTGATGCTGCGTGATATATATATATATATATATATATGTATAATATGTATATAACTCATTGTTTATATACAAACACACAGTCAGGTGTAACGTCAAACAGTTAGTTATACATCTCTTCGTAGTTAGTGTTAAAGGATGTTGCGACGAATCAGTAGGAGTCGATCATCATTATTATTATAACGAGAACTGCAAGGTGTTACAAGTACTGAATAATGGAAAAATATTAAATAAAGAATATAGAAGCATTTAATGAGTGATTGTATATTGGAAGTACAATAAAACTAGTCAATGTTATCGTTTTGCTTTTCACAAACTTTATTCCAAGTTAAAATGAAAAGTTTAATTTTCTTTTCACTTACGAACTCAAAGAAGTTGACAATTAATTTGATTTGCAATATTCCGGGTGGTGGTTATGTTGATTCAAATGTAAGATACTTGTTTAACTATAATATTATAGACTACGAGTTGATAGAGTCTATATAGAATTAATTATTATAATATTGTTAAACAAAATATTTAAAATATACATATATAAGACTATTTTACAATAAAAATCATTTTACTAAACCACGGTATTTTTATATTAAATTACATGTATCCCTTGCTGTAATCTCTGAAATGACTTATTTATTAAATACTATAAAAGATCTCCACCGTACCTCTCAGTTTCAGAGCACACAGAGCACAGTATTTAGCACAGAGCACTCACATCTCATTCACGTAACACACACAGCACAGCACAGAGAGACGTGGACTCTATAATACCGACGGTATCGCACTGCCGGAGTCGGCGCCCTGGAACACTCACCCCCCAGCCCCTCCACACCCTCCTGGCCCCCAACCCCTAGTTTTTTAGAAGGCCACATTTTTTCATATTATTTTGGCTTTAGCTAATCGTTGCGTTGTGCTTTTCAGGATTATCAGGATGTTTGTGCTCCAGGAAATGACATGTCAGTTTACAACACGCCACACGGGTAGCTTACACGGAGCGTGCGTGTGCTTGATGTCGGATCAACATCATACTCCCAACATTATTTATCAACAGCTTCGATTTATTACTTATTTAATCTTTAGTAAAAGCACACTGTTTTCAATGCCATTTGTCATAATATATTGAAGAAGACAGACGAATATTTCGTATTAAATTTTATGTTAAGATAATTATATTGTGTTTATTATCGTAAAATTTAAATATCTCAGAAACAATTTCACGGACTGGTTGTTACTATGTTGTTTATTTTGTTTAATGCTAGCTCTTTACCGCGACGGCGCTCGGTTCCTAAGCTTGTCTAAATTAATGAAGGCTTTTCCAGATCAATGCCTTAATTAGAGAACCCAAATATTCTTTTTTAGAATGTTAGGTTAGGTTATGTCAGGTTATTAAACCATTTCAAACGATTTAACTATATCTTAATACAGACCTCGCACTAGACTCGTCTGGAGTCTTCAAAAGAAGATGATCTCCAACGAGGACCTCGTAAAATAAATGATATAACGTTAAAGTTAACATACCTACAGGTCAATAAGTAAACTAACATAGAGAATATATATCGTTGTCTTCACCAAATAATATTTTTATTTACTTAATCTTGTTTATCTTCATTACCTACGCAATCTTCTAATTTAAATATTGATTGAGTATTCAGTTTTAATAACCATAGATTTATGTAAATACTATTTTAATTCTTTTAAATCATTTAGTATTTTTGTTATTTATATATCAATGTATTAGGTATATAAAAATATAATTCCAAAACATCAGAATCCGTTGTTCTTAATATCTAAGGAACAGTATCTCAGCATTCAGATGACAGCGACGAGATAAGTGAAATTTTATGAAGAATAAAATATCTTAGTTATATGAGTCGTTTGAACACTGAACCCTGAACCCTCTGTGAGCTGGGGCTGTATTAAGACAGTGAGATAACACTGAATAATAATTGTGAAATCATTAAATCAGGAGCCGAGTACATATCTACTGTTTTACATTCCCAGTTAAATAACTTCAGTTTGAATTAAGTTAAATAGTAAAAACAAAACATCCTCCACTTTACGGCGGTAATTTCATTAGCGTTGGTCCAAATTAAATAAAATAAGGAGACGGTACAAATGAGAAGTCATTTCACGAGCTTTATTTGAAGTTAGGTGTAGTTTAGAACAACTCGGAGATATTCTTTTGTTTTTGATGACGATTGGCTTTGATACGTTCAATTTTTAAAATAAAACACGCTTACAATTACATACTCGTCATAAAAATAAACAATCCAAAGTAAATTTTCAGATGTGTCTTGAGTGTTTAATTTTAAGTTTTTTCTGTTGTAAACTTTACATTTCTGTTACCTCACAACAACCGTTACTAGAACACTAGTCTTATCAGAAGGTTCAGCTTCATTTAGATTTGTGCAGCTCGTAAATATCTTTTTTATTACTAAACATGACTTTAGATCCGATCCAGGTATTTAAGTAGTTTTTTATGAACTGAACGACTTTTAAAAGTTCGTCATGTCATCAAATCAGTTAATTTTAACAGGAATAATTTACGATTGAACCAGCCACATCCGTCACTCTCCGATAATCACTCTCCGCATCATCGATTGTCATTAGATGAAAAATATTGTCAGGAGGATGGAGATTATGAATATATTAATGTCCTGTAGATGTATTCATATTAAAATATTTATTTAGATCTGGTAGTCAGTCTTAGATTTGTCGTGTTCATTGCTAGAGTTATGTTTCATACATATTTGGAAGAATTTTTAGGCTTTATGTAATTAATTTACTGTGAGATTGAAAAGAAAGAGACACTTATAAGACTTCGTTCGTGTGACGAATGTCCTGAAAGTAAGACCCAGTGACGAGTAACAAGTAATATACTTCTTATGTTTCATGTAATAAACGTTATATTGTGAAATATCAGAATACTGATGTTTCAGAAGTTCCTTAACACTAATTCATTGTATATCCATAAACGGACTTCAATGAAACAATCAAATATGTATATAAAGTTGAAAAATGTTACCAGTTTGGTTTCGTTCCGCGACGTATCTTATTATAAAGTTTTTCTAAACGACCTGTAGTCGTCACGATGCTAACAACAGAATCATCAACAAGCTGATACATGTGTATAAGGTTCATAATATTATATTTATAACATACATTCTAATAAATCATATTACGAAAATGTTCGGCAATAAATTTAAAATTTTACTAAACGTAGAGCAATACCTTTTAATAAAATTAATAACAAAATATTCATTGGATGATATCCAAATATAATTTTATTGTTTTAAATATTCTGCTATAAAACATTTGCTAGCTTTTCATGTTTTCCTCTGTCCTTAAAGGTCAGTATTATGTATGGAGTGTCATATCCCTGGAGTGTCAACTTTTTGTCTTAAATATTTATTAATAGTAGCTTTACATGTTATTTAGATTACTTATATCTATATAATTTACCTGGCAATTTTCCAGCTATAACCTGGGTCTGCCTTACATGTTGTGAATATACTGGCTCATCCACCTACGAAATATGTATATTTGGTAGGTGGATGAGCCTAGCTGTGGTTATGTCACTACAGCTCGAAAATGGACTGCCTCGACCGTGGAAGTACCACCCTCTCACAGAAGATCGGCGTGAAGTAGCTTTATTCGGCTGCGTTTCATCTGATGAATGAGAGAGCCGGTTGCCCTTTTCCCCCTACCCTTTCCTACCCCTTCCTTATTTCCTCCCTTTCCCACATTTTCCTTCCCTTCTTTCCTAATGAGGGCTGGTAACACATCCGCAAAACATTGTCTATGGCCGACGGTACTACCTCCATCATGTAGGCCGTCTGCTCGGTTGCCCCCTTTCGTATAAAAAAAATATGTACATAGTGATGTAACCAAGGTAATAATACGGTCAACAGATGAAGTATAAAACCTTTAGTAACAGAAGCCACCTCGGTGACTGGCAGGTACATATATTCTCGTCAATTTCGGTGGATGTGGGTCTATGCTGTTCCACAGAAGCCACAGAATCACTGTTTTATTCATTTAAACCCACTTTACTAATTTAAAACATAGAATTTACTATTTCATGTTGGAAGACGGAATTAAAATTACATGTAAGTATGTATTATGTGTGGAGCAGTGGCGACTGTACTTTAAGTGCACTCGTGCGCTGAACCACCAATTCAAAAGATTTAAAAATAACAAATTATTACTTCATCTTTATTTTTAAATTACCATTTTAATATTTATTTTTTAAACATTTAAAAACGTATAAAAAATTAAATTTCCTAATTATGGTCAAAAATTTTGAGCGCTTTACTAAACTCATTTCGTGCTCTTCGGCGAGTGCACGAGGACTGCTAATACATCTTGTATGAGATACGCATTAATACGCCTGGCGCGTGAAACAAAACATAGTTCATAGAAATGTACCGAGTAATGAGTCGGTTCTCGAGCGCCGCACGAGCGGCCGAAGATTATCGAGAGCACCCGATGTATGACGAATTGAGCCGTTTTTGACATTTCGTAATGTTTTGTTGCATTTTCTAATTTTAATATTTTAATAAAGTGCACCACCGGTTCGATTACCCAGCGGTCGCCACTGGTGTGGAGAATAGAGGTACAAGATATTCAAAGTCCAATATATGTATTAAAATAATACTTAAAAAAAATTACTCCTGAGTTTTTTTTTGAAGTTAATGTTTATAACATTATTTATCAGTTCCTTATCGCATGTCGTGTTACAGCCGGCCACAGAGTGGGGGTGTCCGGTGTAATGAGATGCTCTTCATCGAACCACCAAGGACCATATGAAGCTGTTCATACAAACAGTCCGTGATTTCATATCTGTCTGATTCATGCGAATATTCCGCATTATTTGTTTGTTTAATTCGTGATTTAAATAAATATTGAGTTCAATATTTATTCAGTATTGAAAATTGAACAAATAGATATTTATAAAAATTTTACTGTGTAATGTAATACATTGTATCATACTTATAATAAAATAGTATTAAATATTAGTTATAACCCTTTCTTTGTAACCATATGGATGAACATCGCGAGGAAAAGAAAAGATCAATATAATTTAATGTCATCAGTAGAAATGTAAAGAGTCGTCGTGATTGTATGTTTAAGAAGCACGTCAGGTTGAAAGGTACCAACGACGCTGGAACATCAAACGGATTACATTTATAGAACCGCGGCAACCACTTCCTAATTAAATTCGTTCCGTGTCACGAAAAACTTGTGTTTTATATAAGAGCGACACACTTTGGACCGCGACCCGCCAGGAAAACACAAACTAAACCAAAAACAATCTCTCCTAAATTAAAACAACAAAGAGAAGCCAACAGCTATTTAACAATCAAATAAATAATAATAAACACAGAACATTTTGTTGTTGTTGTTCAGTGATGTTGTTTTAGAAACATCATGTACGTGTGTCAGTTACCCGCTCCAGTAGTCTGTACTGCCGTAGAAAACTTAAAATAGTCGACTATTGTTCTTGATTCACAAACAATATATTATTTCTATCTTGAGTCCTCGCAGCCTACTTTTCAATCTTTCTAGAATTAGATGTGTATCCATTTCTTACAGCCGAAGTCAAGTTTTATATACCTATCGGCTTATTTTTCAGTAGAATTCCTCAAGAATTTGTCACTAGAAACAAATGAAATAAGTAGTTGAAGGGCACTACGCCGACAAACTGTAGAAGTAACAGATTTAAATAAGAGAAATGTTTTGTTTAGCTGTTACGTTTACTTACTATTAATATTACACTTTTAGAATTGGATTTTTGTGGAAATAAAATATGGCTGTTGTTGACTATGACGTAATATCTATATAATATAAAAATGTATCGCAAAATGTGTCG